ATATATTCTTCCTCGAATAGAGAGACAATACAAACATCATGAGAATTGTAGAATGAAAGTGTATACATATAGAGATTGGACAAATTATAATCTTATTTTTAATATTAGTATTATGTATTAGTCCTATGGTAGGACTATTAAAATATTATACATTTTATATGAATACTTGTAGTAGTTAGTGCTCGAAGAAAGATTCCACCTAATCGGCACTATACTATGGTTGAGTTTGTTCCTTCATATACCCTTCCCAGTGGTAGCTCGTTCCTTTTCTGATGGGTGCCCTTTGCCAACCACTTTGTTTCCAATGCAAGTGCTATCTTGTAAAATTTAACAAGTGTCCAATCGTAAGTGCCAAACCGTAAAATTTTGCTGCGTCCTCAAACTTTGACTCGGTCTTTGATAGATCAGCCTTGGTGATCAAAATCTTGACGAGACCTGGGTGATCTCCTTGAGAATTCATCAGCGACTTTTCATACTGCTCCATGGCTTCCTCATATTTGCCTTGACTTTCCAAGACATTTCCAATCTGGTGATATGTTGCTGCAATTTCGGGATGATCCGGTCCAAGTGCCTTCAACTTTATGGCAAGCGACCGTTGATACTGCCCCATGGCTTCCTCATATTTGCCTTGACTTTCCAAGATTTTTCCAATCTGGTGATATGTTGCTGCAATTTTGGGATGATCCAGTCCAAGTGCCTTTTCTATAACAAGCGACCTTTGATACTGCTTCATGGCTCCCTCATATTTGCCTTGACTTTCCAAGATGTTTCCAATCTGGTGATATGTCGCTGCAATTTCGGGATGATCCGCTCCATATGCCTTCAACTTTATGGCAAGCGATCTTTGATACTGCTCCATGGCTTCTTCATATCTGCCTTGACTTTCCAAGACATTTCCAATCTGGTGATATGTTGCTGCAATTTCGGGATGATCCGGTCCATATGCCTTCAACTTCATGGCAAGCGACCTTTGATACTGCTCCATGGCTTCCTCATATTTGCCTTGACTTTCCAAGATAATTCCAATTGCGTGATATATCGCTGCAATTTTGGGATGATCCAGTCCAAGTGCCTTTTCTATGGCAAGCGACCTTTGATACTGCGCCATGGCTTCCTCATATTTCCCTTGACTTTCCAAGACATTTCCAATCTGGTGATATGTTGCTGCAATTTCGGGATGATCCGGTCCATATGCCTTCAACTTCATGGCAAGCGATCTTTGATACTGCTCCATGGCTTCCTCATATTTGCCTTGACTTTTCAAGACATTTCCAATCTGGTGATATGTTGCTGCCATTTTGGGATGATCCGGTCCATATGCCTTCAACTTGATGGCAAGCGACCTTTGATACTGCTCCATGGCTTCCTCATATTTGCCCTGACTTTCCAAGACGTTTCCAATCTCGTGATAGGTTGCTGCAATTTCGGGATGATTCGGTTCAAGTGCCTCCAATTTAATTTCAAGCGATCTTTGATACTGCTCCATGGCTTCCTCATATTTGCCTTGGTTTACCAAGACAATTCCAATATTATGATAAG